TTCCCTTTAGAACATGGCCCATTCAAACAGCAATTTTTACTACTGCCAACCCAACCGAAATTTACTACATCGTGACTGTCAAACCATGTTTCATCTAGATAAATTATGTGTCTATTAGAACTTCTGTAGACTTTTATCTGACGCAAATAATCTTGTCGCCATTGAACTATCCTTGACGATTCGGTGATTGCCATCTGTTTATTCAATTTTTTGTGTTTAAAACCACATGCTGACAAAACTTGACGCAATGTTTCCAAACTGGTATAAGTGTATTCTGGAAAATCTGCCACCTTTTGCTGTATTACTTCCAATGTCGGAACCCTGTTCTCCTTACATAAACTATAAATTGTCCTTCGTATAAAATCTTGGGTAGCTCTGTCAACTAATTTCAGTTTTTCTTTACATGTTTTTCGGTTTTATGAATAATCCACAGCAACCCCTTTCGTGACTACCAGATAAACGGAAAATTTATTTACTTTAGTTAATTCAGCAATTGTTATTATGAACGCATTATCAGACTGCTGAATATTTTCCTTTTTTAAACATTCGAATATATTTAAAATAACTTGTTTGTATATCTAAATCCTTATCGTTAAAGTCATACCTGTCTTTAATCTCATTACACTGTGCAATTTCATTTTCTTCATTCGCCCATGGTGTAAAGAACGCCATATTTATTAAAAGAAATTTAAATTAAACCAACCACACATACAAAACACACCGCACGACAGTACTCCACTGATATCGCAGACTGTCTTCCAGGAATATTTTCGAACACCTGCCTTCCGTGAACCTTCGGCCAATACAGTGCATTTAAGTTTAAGATTCGATGTTTTCATTGGTAAACAACTGATGGTTCGTTTAATATTTACCGCTTTGTATAAGGGGAGTAAACATTATTTTTCGTTTCTTAATTTGGCATGAGTACCGTGCGTATATATTAAATATTGATGATTCCCCACATAACGCTGTTCTGCAATTGATAATGGAAGGACTATAAAAGGAGTATAAGTCAAATATAATGATTTTCCAGAAAACGCCTCCAAAGTTTTCTGAATATCTTTCCCTTGTATGCATAAAATTGATAGGTAATTTATTATACGTTTTCCGCAAGATAAATATGTTTTATTTTATTGAAAGTTATTAAACAAAAAAAAAATAAAAATATTATGAAAATCGGTGACTTATACTGTTAGGATTTTCTACCACCATTGATTTATACTCTTAATCTCGTTTGATTTTCATAATCTATTTACTTATTAACTACATTCTTTTATATAAAAATAAACAGGTTTGAATTATTTTTTATTAAAAATATGAACAAAAATTATAGGAGACAGTTACTTTAAGCTGAAATTCGAAAACAAAATTTCATTCTAGCTCTTCATCTTCTTCTTCCACTAGGTCGGGCAATGTGCTTTTGGCATTGTTAGTAGTTTTCAGATTTTTATAAAAATCGTGAAAGTCTGGACTTAGTAAATCCAGAAGAGCCAAGATATATTTCTTTTTTTCATTAGAAATTACTAATGAAGATGTATAGTAAGGTAGCAGATTTAAGGGTGTATCTTGTGATATCCTTCCTTCTAAATTTATACATCGAAATTCTTCCCTTTCGTCTAGTGAAAAAAATATTTTTTGGAAATCCTTGACGGTACCTTAGCCACCGCAGCTCTGTCGACTTACCATTGCTATATTTTTGTTTAAGATGGCTTTTATATAGGTTGGAATAGTTTACGAAATCTTTGTGGTTCAATTCCACCACTTCAATCTTTTTCTTTTTTCCAGTAACTCGTACTAACTGGTACCAATCGTGGGGAACTAAAATTTGCATCTGTAGATGTTTTTTTTTGTTTCTCTATCATCCCATGATCAACATCACATTCAAGGTGGCTATGACCACTGACCATAAACTTGTGGTCTATTTGCTCCAGCTGAGAACATTGCTGCAAAAGCGTTAAAAACATTGCTGAGACATGTGAATTTCTGTTTTGGTCCCCACATGATTCTGAATATAAAATTACTTTTTTGAGTTGTTGACAGTTTTTTAAAAACACATGTGGCGATTTGGTTGGCTCCTCTTCCACCTTTGGTCTCATGCCACATGAAGCAAGTTACATTCCCTGTTGTCGTTTCATAGAAAGTTAGGTTGAACGTCCACAGTTGGCGTTTATAGAATGCCACCGACGTATTTAAGTAGGGTGTTGGCAGGCACTGTTGAAGGTCAAATGCGTAACATTTAATGGTGTTGTCCTCCTTAGCACGTTGTTTGTCCTCTCGCTTTTCAGTATATACCAAATCTACCTCATCTTGATGTTTAGTTGTCTCATCTTGTATAGACTTTAACTCATCTTCTGACTTTGCTACTCTTTCTTTCATAGAAAGTACATTACACTTGTGACAAGTATCTGCTTTTGGCCCTTTGAATGAAATGTTGATTGTTTTAAACTCACGCTCATAAATTGATTTAGAGGCAGGGTTTGTAACTTGTTCCTCATAGAGTGCATACATTTTTGTCAAGTTTAGGTAAGCAGGTAAATATTTTTCTTTGTTTTTTTTTGGTATAGTGGGATTCATAGGCGGGGAAGGATTGTATGTGATTATGAATTGCTCGAATGGTGTTGTCTGAAAGTTTATTAGCAGGCGAGTCTTTACCTCTTTTACTGGGTTCCAAAATACCTGTAGTTGATCTTTGGGCAGACGCAATAGCAATTGTCAAGAACATGTTTGTTTCCCATAAAGTTTTCTAAAAGCAACCTTGGTAAACCTTAGATAGTTTCCCAATAATTTTAAAATAAAATGTGTTGGTGTACTGTCTAAATTTTTCTTTGTCAGGATCATCGGTTCTTTTCCGAATAACTTTAGGCTCAATTGATTAAAATAAATTAGCAACGAATTTCGTTCTTTCATCTCGACTTTCGAGGCTCCAATATTCTTTAAAAATAACTTCCTGGATCTTAGGGGGGATACGTTCCATGCACTTGGCGCGGCAAACTGTCAAAGCTGTCATTGTCCTTGCCGGTTTTACTTTTTCGTCAAGAGTTTTATAGCTCTTCCCAGCATTTCGATTTTTATATTTTTCTATTCTTCTTTTTTTGGAAAATTTTCTGTCAGTAGGTGTAGCTTGGATTACATTTTGTTCTAAATGTGGTTCTTTCGATCTATTTCGTATTTTAGAGCTAGAACTCCGTGTTTGATAGAAAACTTCTTCATTATAACTAATCTGAAAAAAATAGACAGTTAGGATACTTGTTACATTATCTGAGCCTCAATTATCTATAAAAATAAATGCTTACCTTCATCAGTTTCTTGACCAAAACTTTCAGCTATTTCCATGTCTTGTACTAGTTGAGTGTGTTGGTCTTCATCATAGACAGTACTCTGTTGATGGTCCAAATCTGGAAAATATAGTTTCACGTTTTAAGCTACATATTATTTTGGGCTCCTGTGGCTAGAAAATCAAGTCTTACCAAGGTAAACTTTTTGCTTCCCCGAAATGTTACTTGGACCAGCCTCATCATCATTGCAAAAAAATAATTGATTAACATCCCCAGTCGTTGACAGGTAAAGCTTCCCCAAGAAGTTTTTTTCATTTTGGACAATGGATTGTTTTTCAAAAAAACAAAATATTTTGAACTCAGACTAATTTTCATTTCACTTTTGTTTTCGCAAGAAAAATAAAAAATACTTCTGAAATGTATTAATCCCTTATTTACTAACTCACCTGCATAATCATCGACAATAACATTCTCAGTAAACCCATGAGTAATACTGACATTATGCTCTACACAATTTACATCAGCTTCTGTTTGCTTTTTATCTGAATATAAAATAAAAGTTTGTTTGTTAAATGAGTTATCAAAACTTGATTTTGGAAGTATTTTACAAAATGTTTTAGGTAGTAAAAAAAAACAATTTACTTACTTTCAGTTTCAGTATTGTTTATGTTATTGCATATATCCACCATTTTTTTGCCTTTACTCAAAGAAGCCATCTTGCCTGCTCTTAACCACGAAAAATAATAATACAACAATTCACTGGAAACAGTATTACCTACTTAAACATACCTAAAAGTGACAAGACAAGACTGATAATAATAAAAGCTTAGACTGCACATAAAAAAAGTTTCAATAGTACAAGTTAGCGGTCTGCTATCTAACCAACAGTAAGAAACATGGGTCCTAACAGTATCACTTGACTTACACTCCTTATACAAACCAGATAATATGGAACTTGACTTATACTGAAAGGTTCAATACTAAACCGTTAGTAAAAAATACTCAGCATTGACTCTTAGGGTATATATTTAGATGATAAACATGAACTATAGTAAAAAAACCCGAAATCAAGAAAATCTGACTTATACTCTTTGTACTTATTTCGATAGATTTAATTCTTTTAAACTCGGAAACTTATGTTGCTGCTGTATGTTTTGTTTATTGACGTGACTTATCATGTAGCATTGAATAATGTTCTTAAAAGAATGATTAATGAAAATCAAACAGTTATATTTTCAAGGCGTTTTAGACCATTCAATATAAATTAATTATTTGACATAATGAGAAGCGGTTAAATTGTTATGATGGTGGATGAAGTTTTCCGGGTACTGTCACCTGAAGCACTACGGTAAATAATAATAATAATAGCCTTTCTTTCTTTCCCCATATTATATTATTTTTAGTAGTTTAATTACATAACAACTAGCTGTTTTTCTCTTTCAACATTGTATACGGTTTTATAATTTTTCTGTGGTCCACATTTTGAACCAATCTCCCTTATCACTTCCTTCAAACTTTTACAAAATTTCCAGAAAAGTAAACATGTTTAATAAACAAAATAGACTTGTTTACTAATCGGTATACATAATAATGCGATAATCGTATTGCAATAATACCTAATTGTGTAGATAATCAAATATTGTTGAATTTTGAGAGAAGGTCGCATGGAAATTTTCGTGATGTAAAATTTGCTTTAAACATCCTGACTTCATAATCCGTGATTAGTTATAAACAGGCCATGTTTATCGGATCAAAATTACAGTATACAAGTGACCAAAATAGAATAATTCGAGACTTGTATAATTGATAAGATTAAGGTATATAGAAAATAAATTGGTTAGGAGGGGATACAAATGTGGTTAGCCTTACATTCAATGAGTTGTGCGAGATTAAGGAAATCGGATCGTTCAAGAATTCAAAGTACGCTAGTTTTGTAGAATATTTAAGTGGATAGCTACTAGTTATTATAAGTAGTAATGATAATTCAAATACTTTTTTATCTTTATTGACTTAACACGGGACAGATAAAAAATGCTAGTGTACCTGTAACAGGTTTTGTGATAATTTTCGAGTAGAAAACGTAAATTTAAAATCTCTAGTAAGTAAAAATCATATGAATATATTCAAAATTTTAATAGTTTTTTAATTTTTATATTGTATTTCCTTTCTTTTTATTTTTTTATCGTATTCTCAAGCCCCTAAGTCATCTGATTTTGTGTTTGATCAAAAAATCATCTTATTCTTTTTATTTCTATCGTTTCTGAGCCTACATATTTTCCACGGTTGATCTTCATTACAGTCTATTACCTTTTCCTGTCATTGTCAATCTATTAGTCATCTATCCTTATTATGTTGAGATAAATTTAGTTATTTTTTTAATTCTTATATCGTCTATTTTATATGATTTATTATCATCTTATGTTTCTCTGCCACATTAGTGTTTAAACGAATACATTTTAAGATATTATATCATTTCAATAATTATTAAGCTTTTTTTCATATTTGTTTTGTGGGATGTTCCTTTTTCCGTTTAGTCGGATATTCTGCGTGGTATTGTAAGACTCCTGTGTGTAAGCACAGTTTACCCACCAAAACCGACCCTTTTTTCGCCTTTAAGAGACACGTATTGACGCTTGGGCATTGCTTCGCAGTCCTCATTTGTCTGTTATTGTGTCCTTTCGTCCTTTTATTTCTTTGACATGATTTTTTGTCTAATGATAGTTATAGTATTCCATGTTTGCTCATCCTGAAGCACCTTGGTGATGTTTACTTCGCATTTGCTGTTTATTTAGCCCCTTTCTTCATTCAATCTGAGGCAGTGGGAAATTGTGTGTTCTCTTGTGTTAATTTCATTACCATACCAGCATTTATTGTTGACTTTCTTGCCTAATCTGTGTAAATATATACCACAGAGTCCTTGTGTTGTATGGAAATCTATTTCTCTCCATGCTCTATTATTTCATGCTTTGATGTCTTGTGGGAGGTTCCTAGGTATTCGCTTACATTCATAACCATCGGCGCCGTAATGATCTTGTATATAAATTAATTTATTCTTTCTCATTTTTTTGTATCTGATTCTTAACTTAAATTCTTATGGTAATATGATGCTGAGGTATTTATTGGAGCCCATACTTTATTCAATGTTTCTTCGCACTTATTCTGTATTTGTTTACCGCCTCATTCCTATACAATAACCAGTCTAAGTTTAAATATGTTTTCTTCTATTCTATATTATCAATTATAGTTTGTAATAATTGCTCTTTTTTGTTTGTCACATTTACTGTCTTCAGCAACAAATAATAAAAAAGTTAAAGCTCTGGAAGCTGATGGCCTGGTTTAATAGTACCAGGTCTCGTCACTATATAGAGTTAAAGTTTGTGACTTGGCTAAGAGTAAAATTTGCCATTTGGCTAAGATGTCAACTGTTATTTCAATAGTGTAGTCATGGTGCCAAATTTCTATAAATGACGCTGCAAGTCACCGGTAGTCACCAAAAACGCCGTCTACAAATATATTAGGGAATGAAATATGCAGAAATGTCTAGTTAGGAGGTAACGAGCTCAGTGATGGTGAATAACAAAGTAGTTAAACAATGTAAGACAAAATTTAAATTTTAATACTGAAGAATCGAATAAAGTTCAAAATAGCAAAACTAATTAAAAAATCTATTGGACAATAATTTTTCGCCTATTTGACTTCAATGATCCATACGAGCTTTATTGTTGTTTTGTAGTTTTGTTCCCATTCTTTTTTAAAGGTCACCTCTATAAGGTCATCGACACGTAGTGATAGTGATTTTCATTTAATATTTTTCAGAAAATGTATTTTTTTCCGCATTTTTTGCATCAAAAGTTTTTTTTACAGTTTTTTTGAAATTTTGGAGGATTTTAGAAAGAAGACATTTCCAAGCCTTTGCAAATATAAAATAATTCAAATGTATATTTAACATGTTGTAATATTGTTGTTCTACATTTAGATTATTTATTTTTCTTTTGTTAATCTTGCAAATATTTTTTAAATGATTGTACATTCGATAAAATATTGCGAATAAACATTATTCTTAAAGCTTTCAAGATAAATGAATCTTTTTTTAAATTAAGAACGAAGTATCGTGTAATTTATGCTAATTCAAAAGTTTCTCGCTAATAATACTTGGTTGGTATTCTATGGCTGATATATCTTTTGGATATCTGATAATTCTAAATAGGTAAACAGCTAGGTAATTTGAAATTGATTAATTAAAAAATTATTGGTATTTTCGAAAATAATTAAAATATGTCTTCCTTTTTTGCAGGTTTAGATGTGTTCTATGGACTACGAAATGTTGGTATCACACAGTCCACCCGTTTTTAGTCATAGTCCCCCAACCGGAGGTTTTCTCCACGACTACGCAGCTTTAAGGTTAGGCACCGACTTCCCCAGAGCAGCTTTCACCACCTGTAGGTCACTGCAACACTCTAACTCATTTAATTCTTTATCGAAAGTTCCTTCCTTGAAGATGCCGGCGTTTCCAAAAAGGCCGTGTTTAGTGATCAGACCGACCGATGAATCGAGTTCTGGCGATGAGGATCCCACAAGCCCGACGAGACTGAAGAAAAAGGTAACTATTTACATTACTTAGATCCATTTACAGAGCTAGTCGTTAAGAATTAATCAAAACTTAAAATTGCGTTTTTAACAGAGAACTGTCATTTTAAGCTTGTCTTATTTCTTAATGACTAGCAGTGAGAATGCACGAATGAAAACCGTTTATGTTATCGAAACAACCTCGTGTGTTTCCATGATAACCTCGTATGTTTCCATGTGTTTTCATGACAACCTCGTGTGTTTCCATGACAACCTCCTGGATTACTATTAATAACGTTGTATTTTGATGTTCCCATGGCAGCATCGAGTTTCTTTGGCACATCCTGATTTTCTTAATTAAGTTAAATGTTCTATTATTGTATTGTTTAATTCAGTAAAGTATAAACAATTATCTGTTTTCTGAAAATTTAATTATTTGGATGAATCCAATGTTTTAGGTATAGTTCGTTGCAAATGATTTAGGAAAACCCAGCTGATAACGCTGATAACGCTGATAACTATAGTTATGCAAATTAGTCATTGACAACCAGTTCCAATAAGCCTCTTCCCAAGAAATTAAGTAAAATTGCCCTAATGGTCAAATTTAAATTAAAATAACATTAGGGTAGGTACTAAATTTGTTACAAATATTGCAGTTGAATTGATTCTTTGCAAGTGTTGACATTGTATGTATATTGTAAATGTAGTGGAAATTTGAAAAATGCCTAGACGTGTGTGAGATGTAGATAGTCTAATTTGTAGTGTACATAAGTATTTTACGGATAAAAATGAAAATGGCGGTTCTTTAAAATCGGTAATGTCTGTACAACAACGCGTATGCGATGCTCTAGGAATTAGTGAAACCAAATTAAGAGAAGTATTACAAAATCACAATAGTGAACTGCCGAAAAAAGATCACCACAAAACTCGCCCATCATTGAAAACGAAAGATATTCCATATGGAAAGAAATTTGAAATTCGTGATACCATTTATCGAATGAGGGCCAACAAGGAACATGTGACCTTAAATACAATTCTCTCGGAATTAATAGATAGAAAATTTGACGACATTGGCAGAACAAGTCTATGGCAAGTGATACATAACTTGGGTTTCAAATTTCAAAAGGAGGATAACAGAAAGGCCCTTTGTGAAAGAAGTTCTGTCGTTCACAAGATAATTAACTTTCTAGGAAAATATTCTAAATTTAAAGAAGAAGGGGAGAATTTTATATATTTAGACAAAACATGGATAATTTCTAGGGGTGCAACCAAGAGAATATGGTAAGATCATAACGTAAAGTCCATCAAACATACCGATGGAGAAGGGAAGCGATACATAATTTTACATGCAGGAGGGAAATCGGGTTTTATAGAAGGTGCTGATTTAATATTTTCATCTAAATCAAAATCCAGTGATTATCACGATAATATGAACCCAGAAATGTTTGTAAAATGGTTGCATGAAAAACTTCTCCCAGGTTTAAGTGAGTCCAGCGTAATTACTTTAGACAATGCTCCTTACCATTCTGAAGTATTAAACAAAAGTCCAACGAATTCTTGGACTGTTGATAAAATTAAAGAATGGTTGACAACGGAACATATACCATTTCCTCAATATATATTAAAATCAGAATTATTACGCTTGGCAAATATACACGCAAAACCAAAAACCTTTGTTGTGGATCAGATTATTGAAAGTTACGGTCATCAAGTTTTACGTCTGCCATCGTATCATTGCCAGTTTAATCCCATCGAACATATAGGGGGAATAGCAAAACAATATTATGACAACTATATTGGGCGTAATGGTTATAGTAATGAGGCTGTTCGGGAAACTTGGCGAAAAGCACTTTCAATTGCAACTCCAGAAGTGTGGCAGAATTGTATATCCAAGTGCGAGAAACTAATAGAAGATTGGTGGACTCGTGAAAATAAAATAAACGAAATAAGTCCAATCATAATAACAATTAATGGTGATGACAGTGATGATGATAACGATTATGATATTTTGGATGATAATGACTGATTTTCATTTTTGTTGGCAAGTTGAATTTTTATATTTTTCATTTGAAATTCTCTACATGGAACAAATTTTTATGTTAGAAAATATTTTATTTGAGCTAAATAACCCTCTTATTATACATAGACCATATTTTCTATGTGAAGTGTAATATAAAATTATTATTAGGTTTATAATAGCCACATTAGACTATATTAATGAAGAAGTTTAATTCTGCTCTCAATTATACAAAAGATTCTCCATTATTATTTAATTAAAAAGTTGTACATTATTTTTCATTTCCTTTGACCAGTTGATATTTCCCCAAAGAACAGGTCAAACTTTGGGGTATTTACCTGGAAATACTCATAAAATGTTTAATCCGAAACCCGCGTAAATATAGCGAACAGACTCTAGAAGTTTTAGAAGTTGTAGTAGACAACATTATAAAAAGTCATGGACACGACAATCTGCGGTTGCCTTCTAATTATTTCATTTTTAACCCCATAGAATTAGTATGGGCTCAATTAAAAAAAAATATTAGTGATAATAATATTACTTCAAAATCAAATGAGAACGTTATTAATTTAATAAAATATGCATTTGATAAAATTACTAATGTACATTGGGCAAACGTGATTAAACATGTTTAATGCTATTGAAAATAAATATGTAATAGGGACTCCACAAAGATTCATCTTAAACGTAGCTAAAAGTAGTGATAGTGATTTTAGTGAAAATGACATTTAACAGCGGTAATCCTTTTTGTATAAATTATTTTATTTCTTTTTGCAGTTAAAAATTACTTGCTCCTAGTGCTAATCCAGAAACACTGTTTACAGTAACGCTGGATATTCCTTCTCTTATAATTTGTCACGTAATATATAATGTTAAAAAAATATATTTGTTCATTTTCATTACACATATTTCTCGCGCTGACCCTGTCTATATTGTAATTTGGGAATATAATTTCTTATAATTTGCAACGAACTATAACGTTTATATTAAATTGTAAAATAACAAAACGTCATTAAAAAAATATAAATCGATGCATTAATTCAGTAACAGAGCCCTGCATTTTTTACTGAACAGATTTAAGTTATGCCTTCTTTCTTATAAATATTTAGGAAAATATCGAATCACTATGTACTGATATTGAAATTATAGATATCTTTATTTACCTACAAGAAGTCTACAATATTATCTTTTTTGTAAATAGGGAAAAACAGATACTACTTAATGTAAGAATTATTATTGCTTCTCTAATACATATTTATGTGTTTATTTATAGACATACTTATAAACTTATTATAGGAATGCTGATGCGCAATTTATTATTGTCTACTGCAATTTTTTCCTCTACTAAATGACGAAATTTTCCATGCGTTTCGAAGGAAACTAACATTTATCTATTTGGAAATAATCCAGATTCTGTGACTAAATCTAAAATTATGTTTCTTACATTTCACGCATAGTTTAGTTTTAATCCAGAATAGTCAACATATATTTAGCTTTCGTCCAAGGAAAATTAAAACGAGTGAAATAGTTATGTTTTCCTTATAATTCCAGATTGAACAAAACTATTTTAATTAAAAATTATGCAAAATCAAATGTTTTTTTAATCATGTTGAGAACTTTTCTAAAACATCAAAACCAGTTCATTACAAAATATACTAATCATTTTGATAACCCTCGAATTTAAATGGAAGAAGTCATGGCTATATTTTGACAAATTAATGTAGTGTCCCATCTGGTCGGTAGTGCAGCGGTTTAACGCGCTTATATTCATTTATAGGCAAGTTTATGAGTCTGAGACTGCTGGGCTTCGAATCCCAGACCAGACAATGTGGATTTTTAATTAAATTGCATGGTTCGGTTTAGGATTTGATGTGTGCCGTATTAATAGAAATTCAATTTCTGTTGATATGACATGCAGATTAAAAAATCGCCGTCTCGATGCTGGTGGGTGAGGTTTTCCGGGTTTTCCTCACCTGTAAGTCAAATGGCACCATCAATCATCTTTAAGTCGCCCCGGAGCGCCACGGCAAATAATAATAATAATAATAGCCGTCCCTTCCCCTACACAAGTCGTTCAGTCGACTTCAGGGGTTGAAATTCACTTGTAAGGGGGTGAATTAGGGAGAGCATTATTATTATTATTATTATTATTATTATTATTATTATTATTATTATTATATTATTATTATCTTGGTAATCTTTAGCCATATCATGTAATTATTTTATTTTCAGGTGGTATTCGCGGACGACAAAGGTATGTCGCTGACCCACGTGAGGGTCATGTCCGAACCCTCAAACGTTCCTCCGCTTTGGAGCTCCCGATTCCTCGCCGAAGTTACTCAAGGACTGAACGCCGACCCCATCGGCGAAGTGGACACGTGGGAAATCACGTTTCCTCAACCGGCCTCCGATTACGTAACCTTTAGAAAGCGTCTCGACACCGAAAACGTTTCGCTCGAAAATGTGATTTTGAAAGAGTCAGAAGATAATATTTGGGGAACCGTTAAGGTTAGGAATTTAACGTTTCACAAGGAAGTGTTTGTGAGGTGAGTTTGAGTTTATACAAAAGGGTTGTTCTGAAACGATCAGAAACAGTTATTTGCTGTGAGGATTCAGCGCGATAGATTATTTGAAGAAATTAACTAGCTAATGCAGAGAATCCTGATCGACAAAGACTGATTCTGATCGTTGTGGTACAAACCTAATAAGTAACCTTTTGTGGTTTATCCTGTTTTCTCAAAGTTATTCAACTAATTCATAGTGGACACTTTAATGTTTCCTTCCTAACCGTATTTACATTAATATCTTGTAATGCCGCTTGTCTCCTCCCCAAAATTTAATTATATAGTCAATATCTTCTTTAAACAAAATGTAAATGGTGTAACTATACGAGGGTGGATCAATAAGTACCCGTGTTTGAAGGCAGGTGGCGTTGCTGAGGGAAGTTGGCATTACTGTCATGTACTGTCATTTGTCACACGACACCATACTATTTCAAACTGATTTAGGTCCGGTTTTTCAATCTCCGGCTATTTAGGATAGATGGCAGCTACGAAGATAGCCGTCAGCCACTGCCTTTCAAAACGTTTCTCGACCTCCAGTTATACGATAGCCGTCAGCTATTCTGACTGTAACCGTAACCGACACTTGCAAGTGGTAATTTCGTACAGATAGCCCCCAGCTATTTATTATACATGCGTAGGACGATGTTTGTTAAATTTAGAGGTTAATATTTTTATTAATTTTATTATTTCTCAAAAATGGATTTCTTTGAATACATTCACAGCGACGATGCCAAAGAATAAATTATTGAATATGAATCAATGATGACCGTGTAATCCGTGTATTGTAAGGGAACGGTCCATTTATTTCGATATCGATGAACTGAATTTTATTATTAAATTTTTAGATTTTTCTGCAACCTTCCCATTTCGTTTCCGTGATATTGCATTTTCCGTTTTTTTTTTACATTCTGTAAGATAAACAAATTTCAATAGTAGGGCTTTATCTGATGCCGCGTAATTAGATATTTTCTTTTTTCTAAATCACCAATTGCCCAAAAACAGAAAATAACAAGTTCTTAAAGAAAAATGGAACCAAAATAGAACAATTTTTATGTGAAGGTCGGTGACGATCAACACAAGACACGATATGTAAAGCGGAAAATTTAAATTATCCAATAAAAACCATTTAACAAATTAGCAGAAATGCCAACCTGTCTAAGAATAAATAAAAACTATTAGACTACGTAGCTATCAGTTAAATTCATGATGAAAAACACTTCCATCCATGTTCCATTGGTAACAGGGACTTTGACTGCCAGCTAAGATATAGCTGTCGGCTACGTAACAGCCACTATGACTGGACATTGAAAAACCGACCCTTATAGGTTGGTTTTAATTTGGCAGCCACTTGTACCATACGTGTTTCGCATTAATCGATAAAATGGAAAAAGAACAATATCGATCCGTAATTCGCTTTTTATTTTTGGATGGAAAAACATGCGATGAAATAAAAGCAAAGTTGGATGCTGTCTATGGCGACCCTTAACCATCTATGACAACCGTAAGATATTGGTTCAACGAATTTAAACGTGGTCGTACATCTTTTTTTGATGAGGAGCGACCAGGTCGCCCGGCAGACGTTGTTACCGAGGAAATCGTTAAGAAGGTCCAAGACATGATTGTTGCAGATCGCCGAACGAAAGTGCGAGAAGTAGCAGAGGCTGTAGGCGTATCGTACAGAACGGCAATTATAAGTTAAACATGAGAAAGGTATCGGCCCGATGGGTGCCGCGATTGCTAACGGTGGACAACAAGCGGATACGGCTGTCAATGTCGAAGCAGTGTTTGGAGCTCTTTAATCGAAATTCGCAGGAGTTTTTGCGTCGAGTCGTCACCGTTGAAACCTGGATACATTATTATACGCCAGAGACCAAATGACAGTCGAAGCAATGGATTTTTCGGGGTTAATCTGCTCCGTAGAAAGCAAAGACGGTCCCATCGGCCGGAAAGATCATGGACACGATTTTTTGGCATTCCAAGGGAATAATCCTCATCGAATTTTTGCAGAAAGGAAATACGATCACAGGGCAGTACTATAGTGAATTATTAAACCTATTTGATGCAAAATTGAAGGAGACACGGCCTCATTTGGCTAAGAAAAAAGTCCTGTTTCACTACGATAACGCACCAGCACATTCATCGAGAATTGTAGCGGTCAAATTGCAAGAACTGTAGTACGAATTGCTGGCGCACCCACCGTACTCGCCCGACTTGGCTCCATGCGACTTTTTTCTATTCCACAACATTAAAACGTGGCTCGAGAGAAAAACTTCAGCTCTAACGAGGAGGTTATCGTCGAGACTGAAGCGTATTTTGCGGAGTTCGAAAAATCATATTTTTTGGAGGGGTAAAATAAATGGCAGAAACGTTGGGAAAAGGTATAGCACTAAAAGGAGATTACGTTGAAAAATATTGCCTCTTCCTTTCTAACACGGGTACTTTTTGATCAACCCTCGTATACTAGATTTGAGGTTACCTCTAAGTGTATAAATATTTAATAAAATCAGATGAGCGCTATAGACTTAGACAAAGCTATTATCTTAACTTACCTATTTTGCCTATTTTTAGGATTTGTTTACATTTTGTTTACATTTTGTATAAGTATAGAATAGCGGTTCATATTGATATTAATATAGCTATCTATTTCGTTAATAATTGCTGTAAGATTAAAGGGTGCATCCATTCTTTTAAGAGAACACTTTTTTCTAAACCTTACATTCGGTTTGTTATTTCCCTATTCAAAAGTAATAAAACCACTCTAAATCGTTTAAATTATAAAAATAATCAGAGCCAGCCCTTTGCTACTAGTTACAAATGGCGACGTCCTGTATTCCGCGTATCCGACAGCTCTCTTATGAGTTATAAGCAGTGTTAATAGTTTTGGTGAAAATTCCACACCTGTAATTTTGAACCAATCAAAATACGTGTTTTTGACAGATCACCATGGCAACGGAGGTATTTTAGTGGAAATTTTTTATCGTGGGGTACCCAACAGCGAATTATACTGGAAATTTTTTGACGTTTACAATAACAGACCATTTTTGACATACTGGTTTTTATTTGTTCACATAATAGGTTTAGTTTTGATACATTTTAGTTACAATGCTAAGGTGTTTTCTATATTCTTCGGCCACTTTTTTCTTCTTAATGGCGAAAATGCAGGACTTTGGATGCTTTGAATTATGTGTCTATGTCTAATAAAATATATATAATATTTAGACACTAATTTATTCACCTTTTTCCCATTCAGCACTTTGAATTTTGCGTAGTTTAGGTGCAAATATTCGTGGACAATTCGGAACAAATTTTCGTTTTTCAAGTTGGAGCCACAATCCTCTATTAATCCGAGTAAGTAAGTCATGGTGCAATGATTGATCATTACATCAGACAATTTCATGCATATTTTGCATAGCGTATGATTTTCAAATCGATTCATTTTTAAACAAATAGGTAATTTTGTTGGTTTTACTTGCTGTGCAATATTCTTTATCGCAACAAAACGCGAGTTATTTAATGTTTTGAACTGTCAAAATACAATGATCACAGCCTCCTACGATTGATGCTTGCTGACGCTGGTTATGAATTTCATACCATTTTAAAGCGCTCATAACGCATGTTAATAAAAACGCAGAAAAACAATTTTCTACCGCTTGTAGTTATTCAAAACTTACGTAAAATTAAAGAATATACTATTTTCTATTTTCAAATGGTATTCCCATGCAACTACAATGAGTAGAAATAAGCAATTTGAAGGCCTAAATAATTGCAGCGAAACATTTTTTTACGTCGGGCCGCTTGACAACTTCAAAACTGAAATTATATTCGAGGTTAGGGTCTCACTTAGTTACCATGACAACTCAACAATCAAGGCGACAACACCTTTTATGTTTCACTGGTGACTTGGAGAAAATAATTTGCATTGTTGAGAAACGAAAAATAAATTTTAAAAATATTTAATTTTCAACTATAATTCGGCGTGGAATTTTCTTACCGAATACCACGCGAGGTCAAATTAATATCAGGAAATTTTTTCTCGCTCATGAATATTTTTAGAAAATTCATGAGCTCGAAAAAATTTCCGGAAATAATTTGACCTCTAGTGGTATTACTAGTGAAAATTTCCCGTTTGAGTGGAAATTTTGTCTGGGTTCAATATATTTAGGGAATGCTAATTCACTTTTCACCCTCGTTGACTCCCTCGTTGAATCAAAGGAGACTGACATTTTTGCGAAGTAATTTTGTTGTTTCATCTTTTGACTTTTAATATTTTATTATTTTTTGTTTACTAGGTCTTTATTTTTGTATCCTTCTGTCAGTAGATATTCTTTTTAATTTATCCTCATTCTTTTGAACTGTATTTACATTCATATTGACTAGACGTGAACTAAACAGATTTTTTTAGTAAGGGGGTAAAAATGAGGACATTAAAAGCAAGTATAGAAAATGGGCATTTTGGCATCCCGTGATGGGAAATTTTAGAATTGGCCACACTGGTTAAATATAAGTATGTGCGTCATCCCATTGATGTTTAATAACGCAATAACATGTTTTGTCTGTCAAATTGATGTGTGTTTTATACATGGAGGTATAATACTAATGGAGATGCCATGAGGCAATTGTTTTGCATATGATACGTTTTATTAAAAATGACCCCACTGGGCGTGGCTTAAATGGTTGACTAAGCAGGGTCGTATTCAAATATAATTAAAGTCCGTATGCAGAATTACAACTTTTAAATGACTTAATTACCTAAGATTTGTTTCAACATGATCGATTCGAAATTAATTTGATGACATTGCGCAATTATGACTTCTACACTATTTACTATTATTTATTAACCGTTTTCCGACCAAGCCAATGCCAAGACCATGAAAGAGATTAATATTATTATATTGTTCTGTCTTCGCCGAAACCGTCCGATATATGACCTGTGTGATCGACAATCAACGTTCGAATAACACTGTGCATCAGATTTGTTAATCTCTTTGTGCTTTAAAACTAAAACCCGAACTACGATTTTTCGTTCAAGGACTCTCTTGTCTTGATCAAAGCTGCCAATGTCAAAATCTGACAATGAGGAGAATTATGACATCAAATTACCAAACCAAAAACCAAACCACTACGTGAATTGTGAATAAATATATTTCAGTAAAAATACAGCCGAGTTTGTAGAAAGGACAATTAATTACTTTTAAATGTAAAACATGTAGGTCTTTCTGCTGCCGATGACATACATTAAAAATATGACCCGCTACAGTCAAAAGTTTAAAAAGACCAAAAATTCAGCTAGGTATGACTTTATGGTTAAAAGTAGATGGAAGAAAACCATGATCAAAACTACTCTGTCAAAACCAATCGGAACAGATAATAGTTGTTGGTTTTATTTATGTTTGAAATAATTAATTATATAGGCTAGGTACATATTACTAAAATTGCAAGTAAGTACTTACTAAAGATTTCTATAATTGGTACCTATGTATAATAAACAACAATCTCACAGATGCACAGCATACAACTATACAAATGGAATTATAGAGAATTTATTTTAAAAATAGGCATTCAGTTGCGATTTGTGATTACAAAAAGAAAACTTTAACCACTTTTTCTGATTAGTAATGTTAGTGTTATAGTGAAAAAGTTTCTAGAAACTGGTGTTTTTAATCCTAATAAAGCATTGTGAATTTCCAAGAAAAGTGCATGATGAAAATTGTTTTGACCAAAATTTTGAATGTCATGCCATTTAAAAAGAAACCCTGTGCTGTGGATAACATTTGACACAAAATCTTATCCTAAAAATAACTGTTTGGTTGCATTGGATGAATAATTTCTTCATTGGTACTTTTTTAGGGTGCAAGGATGACTTGACATTACTAAATTTAAACCTTTGTTATAAGTTGTCTTTTTGCTTTAATTTTTGATACACCTGTATTGTACATACTTGAAAAATATAAAATTGTTCAAGTGGGAAGTTTATATACAAGGTGTCTCATTGAGAAAGGGATACAGAACAACTGAAGAGTCTGATTAAAAATAAGACTATGCTTAGAATGCGAATATTCTTCATTTTAATTTTGAAGTTTCTTATAAGTTCCCAACCAAAGTACCTATATGATTTACTTAAAAAACATCAAAAAATATATAATTATAGTTCAAATAAGTGTAACGTATCTAATGACATCAAAAACTTTTGCCAAATTTGGTAAAATTATAGGTAACTCTTCAGTTTTTTCTGTGTCCCATTCTTAATAAGACACTACAAAAATTTTTTTATTATTTAAAAAAATATTTATTGACCTTTAAACAACACTATTTTGTTGTTTTTATGTCTTATGCTAGCAGCTTTATTAACTCTAGTTTTAGTGAGATATGTTAGTCGGATACCAACATATTTATCAACTATGCACTTGATTAATAATATTCTATGATTATCCAACACAAACTGGTCCAAACTGTGCTGCATAATATTCGAAAAGACATTAGAATTTATGAATTCTTTTAAAACTAATGTGCTGATGATATCAACTGATATTTTTTTCTTAGAGTCTTTCATAATTTTTAATATTTTTTCACATTTTAAACAAATGTTTATTACATCTTCCGATGGATATTGCGAACCATTTTTATTCTTTATATCAATAAATGAAAATAGAAACAAATCTCTAGTTTTACTTATTAAAGTATCTAGACATTGTTCACAAATGATTTTCTTTTTTAAATAATAAACAACATATCCAGAAATGTAAGTGATTATATATTTAGAAAAGGAGGAGACTGGATCTGGTAAATAATCATGATCATTTTCAATAACATTCACTTTCTCAAAATCGTCAATATTATCAGACATTGCATATTCCTTTGAAGTAACATTTAACTGGCTTGTTATATTGCACTTTAAAATAGTTAGTTCCTCCAAAGGAATACAATTTCCACGGAAACTACCTCTTAATTCAACATTAACTAAAAAAAATTCTAAGTACACTCCTTATACTTACTTATGAAAACTTAAATTAGATCTTTTCTTACGCTCTTTCACTAAAGAGTTTTTACAATTAATTTTGGCACACTTAGTCATGATTTTTATATAAATTAATAAAAAAAACACTTCTAAGGTAAGAATTAACGTCGAAATATTTAAATTTGAACAAAGTTCTGACAGCTCTTTGACAACTATGACATGACCACTAAGAGAGGGGAAAGGGGTGTCGTTTTTTTTTTGGCATGTCATCTCCATAGTATTCAACCTCATTGGTTTTATATGTGGCAACTACCCCCTGTTGATCGATAACGGTGCTAATAGTTATGCCTTCTTAAGTGTCACTTAGATGCTAAGTAAAAGCGGTGCGAATGGCCCTAACGCTTTTATAATCTTAACTTAATTGTAAGTTATCTAAAGACATTGGGTAGAGTGAAAAAAAGTAAGCGTTTGCTTTTACTTAAAAATTGGCAACCAATATTGCTTATTTTCTAATAAGTAATTTTTTTAGATAGAATCTGACAAAGCCTCTAATTAATGAATTAAGGTCCAGAAATGTTATTTTTTAAAAAATTGCCACGATTTCTTAATCATTTTTAAGTAAAAGCGATTACCTAGTTTTTATTCACACTACCCAATGATCTGAAGTAAGCACGGATATATTTCATTACCAGTTGCGGAGAAAAATTCTAAGACTCACATGTTATTAATTATCAGTAAGATCATATTAAATTTTGTTTTTATTAACTCATTACATTTCGTTACAGGTGTTCCACAAACGATTGGAAAAGCTATGAAGACTGTTTTTGTACATATGTGCCAAATAATATGAACACGAACATAAACGTTTTGTACGATACTTTCTCCTTCAAATTCCCCCTACCTAACGCAAAAGTAAAGAAGCTAGAATTTTGCGTGTGCTTCAGAAGCGATGGAAAAGAATTCTGGGACAACAATCAACAAAAAAATTACGTTTTGCTGAAGAAATCGACACTTCATAGGTCGCTATCCAACGATGATTTATTTAAGAGAAACGAAAAAGAAAGTAAGGTATGTATAGTTTTGTTGGTTTAATGTAACAATCGATGTATCGAGAACGGTTTTTATGAGATACATGGCGATATAATAAGTAAATTTAGCGCTTTATGAGAAACAAAAGATGTAGCAAAAAAATAACACCATTTTTTTTTTTAAATTAATTTTTCTAATTTGATTCATTTTCTTTTATGAATTATTAGTTAATTTATAAACAATTACTAGGTATGGTACATCAAAGTTAGTAAAAAAAATAGTGGTGCGTTATTTTAATATAGACTTCTCTGTTGATCTTAGGATGAGGCTCAAAGCCCACTCATACTGAAGCTTGTTGTACCCCTCTTAGATTAGATTTAGATTAGATTAGGAGTTATTTGTCCTTGTCCACCGCGACCTTTTCAGATCTATTGTGTTTAGAGTATGTTGTCTAGCCTGGTCTTTTTATTAGGCTTTAACAGTGGCTCCCGCATGTAGTTGCATGCATTTGGCTTTTCTTCGCCCAATGTTAGAAATCTCATTCTAGCCAGGCCTTCACATTGGCACAGGACGTGGAACAATGTTTTCTCGTCTTCTTCACAGAACCTGCACAAAGTTGCGTCTTCTGCTGGATTTATGACACTCATGTGCCTTTTGAGGCGACAGCGTCCAGTAAGAAGGCCTACTGTTATCCTAACGATTTGACGCTTTTGATCCAGTAGGTCTTTCGTGAACTTGGCCGATGGTTCCTTGATGGACTGTTTGGCCTGTCTCAGTCTTGGATAGTTGTTCCACCATTCCTGAAACTCTTTTTGCATCCACTGTTTAATGAATGCCTTGCACAATGCCTTAGCAACTCCGCAGAAGGGTTCGGGGCCTGTCATGGCCTTATCTGAGCCTTCTCGGGCTAATTCGTCGGCCTTTTCGTTGCCCTGATATCCCTCATGGCCTGGAACCCAGGCTAAGGTCACCTTATTTTGACTACCTTATCTCTGTCAGGTTTTCTAGACAGTCTTTCACCAGTCGTGATTTGATTTCTGGTGAGAGAATTGCCTTTATAGCTGCTTGGCCATCAGAGTATATGGCAATAGTTTTGCTTGATACTTACTGATTTAATATTTCTCTTGCACAGTGTTGTATGGCTATTAGCTCAGCCTGGAACACTCTTGCATATTTTCCTAATCTCAGCGAAATCGTTGATTTCGACTTGGGTCGATAGATTCCAGCACCGGCTCCTTCCTTGGTTTTTGAACCACCTGTGTATCAGACGAGTTCAGCCTGTACGGAAGGTCCCTGTTTCCAGGATTCTCGGGCTAGTATTTGAATTTGAAAATTATTTTCAAATTTGTATGTGGTTATGGCTCGTATCACTAGGCATAGCTAGAATATTATCCCTTTTTACTTGCTGATATAGCCTTGTGTGGTAGGCGCTATGTAGTTGGCTTATTGGGTTTTGTCCCTGTGGATAGCTGACCTGGTTTCTCCTTGTATGAAGATGTGCAGTGGTGTGAGATTTAATAATACCTCCATTGCTGCAGTCGGCGTAGTGCGCATGGCTCCAGTAGCACTTAGACAGACAAGCCGCTAAATGCTAGTAAGTTGGCCTATTGCACTTGCCTGCGCAGTTTTGGTTACCCATGCCACTGCGCCATAGGATATCATGGGTCTTATTACCCTTGTGTATAACCATATGGTCATTTTGGGATTTAGACCCCAGTTTTTCCCACATATTCTTCTACAGCTTACGGGAGCTATTGTAGCTTTATGAGTTTTTTGAGATGTTGATTCCACGTCAGCCTTTGGCTTCTGTGACGAATGGGATAACTGTGTTGTTTAGTACAAGTGGTCTTAGACCTGTAAGTACCCGTTTTTTTGTGAATGGTACAACTGTTGTTTTTTGAGCGTTAATGAACAATTGTTCTTTTTTGCACCAGTTGCTTACTATGTTCAGAGCTGTTTGAGATCGCTTCAACACTGTGCCTGCAAATCGCCCCCTGACGATAATTGCTAGGTCGTCTGCGTATCCTAGGCACTAGTAGCCTTCTTTGGACAATATTTTGAGTAAGCTGTCCACAAGAACTGACCACAGTATTAGAGATATTATTCCTACTTGTGTGCAGCCGCGTGTACCTTTTACCTGTATGGTTGCCTTTCCTAGAGTGGATAAAATAATCCTTTTCTTTAGACAGGCAGTGATCCATTGGCATATTGTTACTGGGGCGTTTCTCTCTTCTAGAGCCTTGGTTATTGACCTGGTTGAGGCATTGTTGAAAGCTCCTTCGATATCTAAGAAAGTGGCTATTGCGATTTCTTTGTCATCTATTGACTTTGAAAGCAGCCTGTTTAGATCGTCCAGCGCTAGGTCAGTTGACTTTCCTCTTAGTTTCTCATTTGGTTAATAATCTTGATTTATTCAATAATATGTATACGTACCCCATTCCCGTTCCCTTTTAAGGTTTCGCCAATGACGTAGTATATAAATATGAGTTTCTTTCACCTTTTCACATTTTCTATATAGGAAATCGTTAGATATCTAAAGCCACAGGTTGATGTTAGTTATTTCCTGCTAAGGATTTGCAATCAGCTCTTAAATGAACCCTCTTTGATCTATGAACTAATATACTTAAGTGACAATACATCGTAAGAATACTTGAAGTGACAATACCTCGTAAATCTGAGATGCTTTTTCATCAATAATATTTTACGCCCAATATTTCCACACTTTGTGTTCAGCTTTTATCACTAATTTGCTATTTGCTTACTTTCGATATTTTGCTTTGCCCTTTGAAAAATCTGGAATCTCCTTTACTTAATTAATTGACACATATTTTTTTTCCTGTCAATCTGTAGAAAATAGAAGTGTTCTTTATTATGGAAGAAATAGAAAATTTTTTGATTTAATTTAATAAGCACAGTATAATAACAGATACAGACAAATTGAGCAGAACAAAGATATAGAAGCGCAAGTTTGAATAAGATTTTTCGTTATGCCGTTTATGCCCAGTGACACTGCAATAACACACCGCAGTTGTAATAATTATTTGGTGATTTTTTGTTGCTTTTTTGTTCTGTCTCGTAAAAGCGACGAACTGTACGCACTATTCCTATACAATTTGAAAACTAAACATAAATATAACATTAAAATTAAAGGATTAGATATTGTTTTATGTTGTAATATTGCCAAAAATTTCATAATATAAAAAACAAATTATTAATTTATATAGTGGTGGTGGAGCAAAACAAGTAATATACAAGAAAAAGCTATTTGTTATGTCAAATAATATACAGGATGTTCCCGAAAGTTTATTCGTAAAGGCTTTATCTTATGAGTAGATTATTTTTGTTCAGAAAAACTCACCTTATTTACGAACAAATTTAAACACGTTAACTGCGATACAGAATATCGTATCATATCAGCCTCATCATTTTTAAACATCCATTATTTAACATAGCTTAAAGGACTTTCCAAATAAACTAGATATAATAATGTCCAATGGTAGCTCATCTGCTTCGCTATTCTCACATTTTATTTATTGATTTAAAGCCTCTCTTACCAAAATAACATTTCATTATTTCAAGTATTTTGATATTTGAAATATGCGTTTTCCAGTCATCCACAACTTAGGCTCTGACAATAGCCTGATATAGTAAGAACATTATAAATAAGTAGACGAAATTGGCACTAAGATAGAATAGCCACAATACATTTTATCAATAAAAAAAGGTTGAGAAGAAGGCGGTGAAAGAAATTGAAAGATAAGGAAAAGAAAGAACCTAGCCAATTTCTTATGTAACGATAAAAGGAACCTTCAAGGGTTCTAGTGAGGCCTAAGGCCGTGGGTTAACCCACTATCCACACGTTACAGATACAGAAGGGTTATGGAACAATAATTTAAAGTAGATCTACTGAGAGATATCAAATTAGTTGTCCCAAGCTTTATTTTAAATTTATCACCACTTCATCGTGAAACACAAAACCTACATTAAATGTACAATAGCATAAAAAATATCCTCTTATGCTTTAGCTAATGAAATAAAATCATTGAAATTGCGAACCCTAAAAGTTAACCGAAACAAAAACTTGAGAGCTTGGTTTATGATGAGATGAGCTACAAAGAAAAATGTTTTTCAAAAAACATTTCTAGATCGTTAGTTTTGTAGATTCAAATTAATTCCTCCTTTAGTTGATATTATTGGTAATGAATAATATATTAATAACGGATTTAAAAAAATACAATAAAATTTAACAATAACATTTAAAAACCCTATTCTACTGAAAATGGTCCACTGGCTATATTTGACAATAACAAGACTCATGCTTTACCTATGGAGCGGTTGATTAGTGGCCAAAAATAAACCAGTAAAGAATTTGCATTCTCCTCTCAGGAACACTGAGTAGGAGAAGTACACAGACGGTTTTTATGAAAATAATTCTAACCGTCTTTCCCCTTGATCTAGTCATAAACGAAAAGACCAGAATTAGTGCATACAGACTGAACAACAACTGGATCACTGGAATATATTTATCAAACCAGAATATCACTTGAGGTACATGTACCTAACCCTCAATTGACTATTCCAGGTCGACTACAACTAGAATGAGGTATCTGTAACTTGTGGAGGATGGATTACCCCACAGTACTTAAGCTTCACTAGGCCTATTGTGCATCCTCCTAAGTTGATAGGCACCTCCTAGCTCGTAAACCAGCCTACAGATTTGATGTAGTTGACAACGTCTCCAAGAGGTGCTTTTCTTATATCGATTCTCGCCGAAGACAAATCTTCCAATAAATGAGAGCGTCAGGTAATCATACTCTTGTTTGCATCCCCTGCAGAGTGCGGATTCTGACAGCTCATGCTATAAAAATGCTTCCATACTTGGCATTGACCACTTTAACTTAAAATCTCCCTAGCAATTCTGCAACCTATTGTTTCACCCCATCTTTTCTTGAATTTCACTAGGAGAGGTACTTTAATTAGGTTTGTCACAACCTATGTTGTCAGTCCAATAGATTGGCCAGGTCCAAAAAAGTATTTGG